ACTGTTTGGCTGCAAGAGTTTTGCAGTAAGATGTAGTCTTTTGATACAGTCGGGACTGAAAAGCGATTCACCTGAAGACATCAAAACTTGGCAACTTTAATAATCCGATTATGTTCTTGCACATGTATCGATTTCGAGCAGTTGAAGCCAAGGTATTCAAGTTAATGTTTTCAGTGAAGGTTAGTTGGTGTTTTTGGAATGTGATGATGTTCTTCAGGAACACCTTGATGTACACCGTCCGAGATTGTCCGAGATCCTGAATCTAGATTTCAGACTCCCAATACAGTTCTCTACATGGTGTAGCAAAGGTGTAAGGACGTAGTACCCTACATGCTTAAGGGATCCAGAAAGGGCATAGACGGTTTTCTGAACACCTTTACTGATAACCTAACCTGTGATGCCTATGATCAACAGCTAACTTATCAGCTAGACAGTAACATTTAAATTGCTGTGCCGGCATATTACTTGGAATAGAGACTCATGGGGATCCTTCGTAACAAGGTACATTCAGGGACGAACGAACCAGCCCGAAAGCAAACCTTATCCCTTCAAGTATATTATGTCCTATCTCCACTCCTCATATTACGCCTTATTCAATTAATCCCGTTATATAATACCAAAAAGCACTTGAAATATAATCGCCTCTGTCGGGGTTTACCTGTATGAATCTGTCACGTAACTTTCTCTTTTTTTTTTCTAACTTTCTCATTTCAGAGCCTTTTAACTGCAGTTGTTCATAATCGACCAGACAACCCCGTAGAGTTTCTTCAGGAATGCCTGGAAGTAGCCAAACAGAACGAAGACCTTCGTTGGAATTCCTTTCTCCACGTGCAGGACAGAACCAAGAAGAGTTCACAGACGACTCAAACAGGACAGTTTGATAAAGTATTTGATACAGAATTGGAAGCAACGTTAAATGGCTAAAAAAAAGACCAAGTGTGATCAGTTATGCTAGAGTCCGAAATAGTGCATTGGTTTTCAGTTTGCTATATTTCTTTCATATTCTTTATATAATATATTTTTTTGTTGTTGTGAATACACCGCTTCACATAAAACGATGGGTAGCCCCTGGAGGGTTGACCTTGCAAACAGCTGCTGTGTTAGAAATCGGATACTGTAAGTGGTTATGGAAATGTGACGACTCTTTGATCATGTTATCTGGTCAGTCCCAGAAGCTGAGCAAACAAGAACACTTTATAACTGTTCCAAGCTGCTTATCAACATGGAAAATCCATGATTGTATTTAGGTATAAAGTGAAAACTGTAAATAGATAAATATGATTGTTATTCCAGCCGTCTCCTGCTCTTTTGTAAAGTTTTTCTCGGTGAGTCACGACCCAAGTTTACGACTGCTTCTCTAGCTGTGACGTCAAACCGAGGAGTGGGGAAAGAGGTTGGTGAGACAATGCTCCACTACTCCGCATTCGTCAGTTCTCGTTCTGTTCAATGAAACCACAACACAGTCTGGTTCCCAGAGGTAGAGTGTTCACAGCTTGCAGAACGCTCTAAGGACGGGATTTCCTGCAAAACTGACAGGCACCTGTGCTACTAAGGCAGTGCGCAACACAGCAACAGCTACTGCGTGTCTTTATCGGTGAGCATTTTACGGGACATACCTTGTGGGTAAAAGCAACACAAGACTAGCACGAAGAGACGTGTGCGCGCAGGCAAATAAAAGGCTAAAATATACATTTGGCTCGAGAAAGCTTGTCCCATAAAAGGGTTTAAGAGTACGCGAGAGTACCAAAACGTATTATGAGCGGTATTAGTTGCTTGATTGAAGTTCACGGCCTTCAGTGCGAAGGAGGTAAAAACCACGAATAGATAGTCATGGTTTTTACCTCAAGTTTTTTTTTCCTGCATGCAGTTAGTTTTTCCTACGGAGGATAAACCAACGGCTCGCAGGGTATGGAACACCGTGAACTTCGATCAACCAGTGGTGAACTACAGTTACCCATAGCACCTTTTGCCGTTGTCGCGTAGGCTTTTACGCTTTTTGATTTGTAGGACAACTTTTCTCCCAATAGCTATGAAACTAAAGTTGAGTTATAAGAAAGGAGCGCTATTAAATATAATTAAGAAAACAACGCGACGCCATCCATAACAACTGATTGCTTTATTATTTAACAAAATAATGAATGCTAAAATATCGGTCAATTCTTAAACAAAAATGATGCCTCTTATTTTACCGAACCCACGGTCTTAATAATGACAGGTAAATATGTCTCGTATTACAACTTGTACACTTCATGTTGTTTGGAGTAACTATCACAACTACAGTAGCTTGTAATCACGGCTACCCTAAAATATTTTGCCTTTATCTCTGTTACTTGATTCTGCGCAGGTTTCTAAACGCTTGCGTTGTTCGACAGCACAATGTCTTGTTCAATGAAGTAAAAACAACCTGCTAGTACTGATAGGAACATATATTCTTAAATATTAGTGTAAATAATTTTTTATGGTCCTTAAAGTAGATTTTTATTGTTGCCATCTTATTTTTATTGTTGTGCTTATTTAAATTTACGCTATTGTCTTTGAAAAGCCTCTTAGGGAAAAATCAATAAAGTGTGTATGTAAAGTGATTAAAGGCACTTTACAGGGATGGCGGAGCTGGCTGAGCGTATTTTGAATTGGGGGCGGGGGGG